AAGCGATCGACGACTGCTAGAAACCTCTCCCAGCGTCACGCTGGCTGGAGCGCTCGACGGGCATCACCTCGTGTAGCAGCTGCTGCAGGGGGGGAGTCCGCAGAAGAGGTCCCATGGGGGAGGTGGGGAGGGTTTCATGGCCATGATCTGCCAGTCAGCTGTGTGCACAGCGGGAATTGGGCGCGCGAGGAGCCACGCGCTGCTTTTAGCGGCTTTTCTTCTCCCAGATATATTCCCAGGGGCCACAGGGGTCCGGTGAACAGCCCAGGCATCAGTCTGTACCCCACTCAAGAGCGCGGAGGCTTCGGCGGTTCTTTGTCTCCATTTCTTCGCCCCCCTTCCTTTGCAAGGAGACTTTACAATGCGCAGGATGGGTATCTACCGCCCCCAGAGGCGCAGCAGTTCCCCCGAGACATTCGGGCGTTTCAAGAGGCGATGAACCAGCTCGACAGCAAGTTTCTGCAATTCGCGAAGGAAACGTAAGTCCGAATCTGCTGTCTTTGAGCTTAGTTTGGGCCGCGATGTCATGCCTACCATGAGATAGCAGGAGCACTATGGAGCACAGCAGCATTATGCACTTCATGCACAGCAATCCCAGTGATGCCTGATGGCTATGTTCGCCTAGGGACTTCTGCCCTGCGCTGCGCGTGTGTTTTGCAGTGCGTCTCCAACGGCAAAGTAAGCCCTCGAATTGACAAGAAATGGGCCGCGGAATTCATACAGCGGAGCAGTCCTGCAATAGCACCCCCCGCCACCTCTACGTGGCCGCGGGGGGCATTTGCGCTGCAGTTTCAGTGCACATGTGAACTTAAAAGAACCCAGCGGGTAAATGTTGTTGCGGAGCCCTTGATTTCTGCATACACTGTGTCTGCCTGTTTGCAGAAACGAGGAAATACTGCAGAGTCTCAGCATGTTATGGAGACAGCGGCACCTGGAACAACGCCAGGAGGAGGCGCAACAGCAGTGCCTAGGAACCCAAGCAAGTTCACCACTCTTCAACGCGGGGGACGAAGGCCCTTTGACGCGAAAGCGCAGCAGTGCCTTCAGGGCACGAGCCTACAAGACAGTGCGTTGCCTGATGAAGAATGCAAATGACGCAACTCTTAAGCAATCCATGAAACATGAACGTGCCTCAGGATGGTAGTTATATATGACTCAAGAATGCCCTAGAGCTCATATCTTTTTGTGCATGGAGTAGTGTGACTTGTGATCATTTCTGTATTTCAACCGATGAGTTGTGCGTATGTAGTCATAAGAATATCTGCATTTCCACGTGATTTACGTGAAAGCGCTTATATGTTGCATGTGCATGCGCACCCACACAGTAGTAAGCGCCACCTATATGCAACGGGGACCAGGAAGAGGGTGAAGAATGTTTACTGGGCCGCGCAGGCTTATGAAATTCTGGGGAGTTCGCGTATCCCGATCCACAACATCGCGGAAGTGCTGCTCCTGCTGCGCGAAGGGGGTCTCGTGCTCAGGGGAGAGGAGAGGAACATAGTGCAGCGGGGGTCCTTTCGCTCAGCGGTCCTTCAGAAGATACTGGTGGTACTGTCTCACGGTGTCTCCGAGCTTATTAGAAAGTCGTGAGTGATCAATGCTTTCCTGAGCGTTACGAAGCAGAACCTTGAGCCTACTCGCATGAAGATGTATATGCATACGAAAATACATGCGTATCCGTTCACGTATGTTGCACATGCATATCCAGATGCATACGTGCACAAATGCACAGACGTGTATAATATATATATATATATATATATATATATATATAT